AGCGCTCTCGAAGGATACCGCATAGGCAAGCATTTGTTGACGTTGGTGCAGTCGGTGTCACTCACGTCAGAGAGCCGGACTTGCGCTCCTTCACTCCTTCGTTTATCTCGCTTCTACGGATTCCTAGACACGATGCTCGACGTCCTGTACAGCATCCCCTTCTTCGTCCTCGACATCCCGAAGCTGAAGCTGAAAAAGCCGTCATGGGTGGCCATTCCCTCCCCCATGGCCATGTTCGCCTTCGTCCTGTTGTCGTATTTTCTCGTCACTGGAGGTAAGGTTTTGGGTTTCTCTTTTGTATGGATTGAAAGTGTTTTTTTTTTTCTTTAATTGAGTTTGAGGGACGAGGCGAGGGAGGAGATGAGAAAGAAGGTTCAGGGCCCTTGGGTTGTTGGTAGGCTAATGTCAGATAGATTTTGTGATATGGGAATTAACTGGTTATGATATTGTTTACTTGTTTTTATTTGTTAAAATACGATGTACAGTACACCTATGGTTATCTTTTGAAATTGCTTTTCATGTAAAAATGTTGTGCTGTATTGTGTAAAACAGAATTAGTATTGTTGGAGTGTATTTTATGGTTAATATTTGTTTTCATCTGTGGACTCCAACTGCTGTGAGGATATTAATGGTAATTCAAGGCTTTAGTAACCTGCCTCGACTTCCAAAAGGTCGACAAATCTCTGGGATCAGTTGTCATTGCATAATAAACCATACCTTGGCAGTGTCTGGTAAAAGGTCTGCAGTGTCGTTACTAATGAAACTGGTACTATCAGAATTTGTATAATGCCTCATTTATTTCTAATCATTATATTAACCACTGACCTTCTGTACGGATATTATTTTAGAGAGCCTAAAGTATTTAAAGAATTTAGAGGAATGAAAGAAATATAAACAAGACATTCTGTAGATGGATATGGATAGAGACTGCTGTCTTGTGAAGGAACCTAAGCTGTACTTGCTATGTCATTTATCAATTGAATTATAGAGATGGGTATAGATTACTGAGAGTAATGTAGAGAGATAGAGGGAAATGGACACACCCATCTTATCAACACAGCTACAGCTGTAGCAGCAGCATACTTGCCACAAAATGAGGAATGTATCCACTGCGTATCACTGCTCAGAGACTAAGGACACAACACCCTCAAAGAGCCAGAGTTCATAATGCCCATTAGCACAAAATGCCGCTGTCAAGAGAATAAATAAATGGTAGGAAAGGTCAGGTTTGGGTTTGCATGATACCCTGGTGTTTTACTTACTAAAAGAGACGGGTGGAGATAGAGGGAAAAGGATTCCGCCTTCTTTTAGAGCTTAGAAAATAGAGTAGGAAACAACATAGCAGCATCCTCATATTTATTGATCTTCTATTTAATGTAGATACTTTCTTTTTTGTTTTCCTTTTCATTAACTTTATTCACTCTGAACTGTCTAACTATATTACTACCTCTTTGCAAGAATTGTCTGGGCTTGAGCGTTTTCAGGCACCATGTTTCAGAGTAGGATCCCGGCCATTCTGTGAAGCAGGTCAGTTCTGGGTTATCCTTAACACTATACAGTGCCAACAAAGAAGTAGACTTTATTAACCATCCCAGTTTGGTATCTGAGCCCATCAAGTGCCCTAAATGCTAAAACAAAAGATAAAAGATTAAAAAGGAAGCAATCCAGACAGTAGAAAGCACACACAAGTTTGTGGAGTCCAGATATAAAGTGATATGGTTTATTACTTTATGGTGTGAATGCAGCTGTCTTGCTGTACATACTGAGGTGAAGAGAATGTGTCCCGGGAGGTTGTTGGATGCAAAACCCACCATCAACCCTCCCCTAAGGCAGCCCAAAGGGCACGCCTAGTCACGGCAACTTGGATTGTTAGGTTAGGTTGGGTTTATTGGTCAGGATGTTTTTTTGGGGGGGTTGGATATTAGGAATTCCTGTAGATTTTGCCGTAAGATGGGTCAGATTCCTGTAGTTTTTCAGAATTTGGCGTGCTGGTATGTAAAATAACAAAGATGGGGGCTACATCTGTAGAGTTTCATAAGCTGATTTTAAGCATTTTTGTGCAGGTTTTATGCATTTTTGTTTTACCCTGATATACTAAACTCATTACTACATGAAATAATCTGCGCAGGCAAACGTAAGAAATGTCACAGCAAATGCCATGCAGGGAACAAGTCCATGGTGCTCGGGTGGGGTCCAAGGGATTGCCCCCAATAGAGAAGTACGGCAAATGGGTGGGTGACACCCCTGGGTTAGGAAGATTTTAGGTTCATATGATGATGATTGTGGATTTCTCAGGAATGGCTGGAGTAATAGATACTTAATCTCAGAGAAAGCCCATCACGTTGCAAACATTACCAATACTTTCGTTTATATGATTTGTGTTGGGAAATAACAACAGATTTGTGTATATTATAGCATTGATAGTTGAAAAGAGGAATAAGAAACTTAAGATTTGGATGGCTGGGGGGGGGGGGGGGGATCTGACTTTGTTATAGAGGATTCTTCGTGAGGTCATGATGACTCAAGGCCTGATATGTAGGGAGTGCATGAGGTATTAGGAAAAGGCATATTTAGATTAGGTTGTATGTAGGTGTTTTTGTCATTGTTAAGGGGCAGCTATTTATAAAGTGTTTATTAATTGTACTGATTGATTGTGCTATAGTTGGGTAATATATATCAATGGGTTTTAACCCAATAGTGATGGGTGTCATACTAGGCAGTAGCTGGCTATCTCATATGTGAGACACTCGTGTTTTTAACTTGCATTCTGATTGAGTAGCCTGTCACTTTTAGCCTACATACAGATCCTTGGCAACAGACAGTTGCTGCAATAGCTAACACCCAAAAATAGGTTCTTTCACTTGGAGATACTGGTTGTGGATGGCTTAAGATGCAGACCTATTCCAGAAATTTTCATGAAGGTGCAAAGGCCATGGTGATTGCTTGCTTTTATTTTTATTAACTGGGTTAATCTTGAAGGTGTGGATGCACTAAGCTAGGGCTAAGTTTTTCTAGTAGAGGACTAAAAGTTGCAGGCATCAGTACAAGCAAGAATCTGCTGATACAAACGGTGATGCTGCAAAGGAAAAATATTGCTGAAAGTGCTGCTTACAGCCCGTCCAATTAGTGCTCCTGAATTTCAGTTCTCTCGCCATACAGAGGTGAAAACAGTGTTTGCTGTAGGTGTTGGGAAGTGGAGCTCCCATCAACCTTCTCCTTAGGTATGCCAAATCACAGCAATTTAGATTGTTGAATAAATTTTGATGGTTTGTTTATTTCTATTTGAATTTTTTGTTCCATAGGATAGATTACAAGTTATCCATCACAGACTAAAATCAAATCATGTAAGGTCTCTTCGGCTTGCTGATTGACTCCTTGGTGGAGTACTTGTGGCATCATTGGGGATGATAGGTTCCTGGCAGCATTGGGTTAATGTGGTGAAGGTTTGCAGTTGTCTTTGTAGGTTAATGATCTTTATTTACATTCTTTCAGGTATTATTTACGATGTGATCGTTGAACCTCCCAGTGTAGGCTCGACAACAGATGAACATGGACATTCTCGGCCAGTAAGTAAAGGATTTTTACCATACCTAAACAAAGTTAATTCCATAATTTTTTGTCTATTTGTGTAGAGAATGATGTATAAAGGGTATTACTAGTTAAGATTTGTATATAAATATATACATTTGACAGCCACCACAAATTTTTACCTTTTTTCTTGCATTAGTGAAGCATTTAGATATAGAAATAAAGGTACATCAACTTCACCAAAGTTTAAATGACAAATCATTTCTCCATTGTAATAATAATGCTAGATATAATACAGAAGATGGTTAGTTTCATTATTGAACGGCAAGTAATGTGCAGATGCATTGAGAAATTACAAAATAACCATCAAATATGTAGACAAATATTCTAGGGTTTATCTGTAAAAGTAAGAAAAAAGTAGTTTACTTTTTTTCTCTCATTTTGGCTGTATAACATTTACACATTATTTACACTTTTCCAGGTTGCATTCATGGCCTACAGAGTGAATGGACAGTACATCATGGAGGGTCTTGCTTCGTCCTTCATGTTTGCGTTGGGAGGCATTGGGTTCATTGTTCTGGATCATACGCATGTTCCATCGACGCCAAAGCTTAACAGAATCCTCCTCATTATCATCGGGTTTGCATGTGTCATCATTGCTTCTATTGCCTGCTATGCGTTCATGAAAATCAAACTTCCGTAAGTATTGATATTTCTTGTTCCTTGAAACCATTTTTGTACACTAGAGGATAGAGACAAAACCTATTGCAAGTCAGCTGCATATTAATAAATATAACAGTATAGTAGAAGCATGAAATGTAAGGGGATGCCATTGATTTTAGATTTACTGAATGCTGCTGTTGGTCAACCATGTTTGATGATTAATAGGAAGTGTTAGCTTTAAATGTGTAGGGGAAAACTAATAGTTTCTCAGGAAAAATTCACTGCCTCTACCTCCTAAGATAGAGATTTAAATCCTCCGTCAAATTCACTTTATGAGAGGGGTTATTATGATTATGCATTAGGTGTGGTGCCTAAAAGTAATAGCAAATTTGCAGTGTCTGGTTAAGAAATGTTCCATGGATATATGAATGTTTTTATGCACCTAAAGTATCACAAGTTAATGACAGTCTCGTTTTCATAAATGGGTCCTTTGCTTAGGCAATTTTTTTGCATTTTGTGAAAGCTATACCTTAACAATTTCAGGTACCACACTGATTTTTTTAAAACTAGATATTAAATTGTATTGACCATAGTTCTGAACATTATGAATAATTTTTTAATTTTCTGTCTTTGCAGTGGGTACTTGATGAGCTGAGTTGCATATGCTGCTACTTTAGCACTCCAATGTGCAAGGAGTTTGTGGTCTATGCTTTACGATTTAAGAAAAGTTATTCAGTTTGGATTTTACTTTCGAAGTCTGTAATTGCAGATGAAGGGAACAACATTTGATGTATATTGATTAGCATTGTATGCTGGATCATAAAAGATTTGATATTGATCTTAAAGTTTCATTACTTATCCTTGTAGTGTACTTATAGTATCAAGAATGTATTATTTGTTGCAATATATACATTGACCCAGTTTTGCTGGAGATGGCAAGTGCTTGCATGCCATGCCTACAGTGAAATTAGTTTTTATTTACACATGTAATTCCACATATTTATAGCATTAGAAATGAAAAAAAAAAAAAAAAAAAAAAAAAAAAAAAAGTGAAGGGGAAACTGGGTGACGTCACAAAAGACTACTGACTCCTTGGTGGCTGAGCACTTTTGAGCCAGCAATGTGTTGATGTATTTCACAAAACAGTAGTATAGTGTACATTACATCTTCCCAGTGGCATTGGGTTAAATTTTCATTTAAACCATACCAGTTATGTATTTTAATTATAAAAGTAGAGTTATCAACCTACACTTAGTATAAGCAGTATGAAGTTAATCATGTTTGGATTAAAAAGACAAGATTTTTTATGATATTTGTAATAGGAATGTAAATTTATCATTTAGTAGCTAAGGAAGAAAATGCAGAAAACTCAGCATTTTTAATTTGCAAAACTCAGATTCTTTGCATTTATCTTGGATATTTCATTTAAAAAATATATGTTCTCAGTTCATGGCAAAGTGGATATGAAAGTGTTCATCAAACTTCAAAAATTTATTTATGGACGTATATAAAACACAACTGACTTAGGATTCTCACAATACAAATAGAAATTCAGTCTAAAAAACAGTATAGGTACATGGGAAGCATAAAACACAATGCAGTTTCCAACTCTGTTGATTATGTGTGAGATTACCAGGAAATCCACTATTTAACCATTCTTCTGTATTAACACACTCTGACCACACTCATCAGGATTTAGTTATGACTGTAATAAAACAAACCTAATGAATAACAAAGACATTACATACAAATATAACCATTCTTCCAAATAACCCATAATAAATTAATGTATTGTAACCATGATATGTTGCACTTCCACATGGAGAAATGTGAATTTTAACTGGTAAACAGCTGTGGTGAGTGAAAACCGAGGTCTTATGGGGATACATCAAGGTAAAATATTTAAAAACATCTACTAATAACAAACACAACTTTGGCACGCAAGGGAAAACAAAACTAAAGAATAAATAGTTGGTTCAGGAATAGACCAATAAATTAGACTTAATAGAAAAGCAATACTGTATTAACAACCTTGTAAACAGGACTCCTTGAAAGACTTAAAATACAATAGAATATAAAATGAAGTTTCAACAGATTAAATCATATATACTGTAAAATAGGAGGCAAGACATCTAGTTTGTTAAACTTAGCATTCATAATACAGTATATACATATATCTTTAAACCTTTATACTTAAAGGAAGAATCCTTGATTTTGCTTTTCAAGATTTCCGAAAAATTATGAACTGAACAAACATTTACTGGCAAGCAGTGATAGATATTTATGAACATTCTGGCTGGTTATGTCATCTGTCTTTTTACAACAACCAGTATGCATGTTAGTATGTATGTATAAAAAAAAGAAAAAAATAAAATTAATGGGAACATAATAGTCTGCCCTGGTATTCTTGGGGACTTAGTTCCAAGGACCTTCAATGCTCAAGTCCCTTATGGAAAGTGGAATAGGCATCCCCAGATTGGTTATACTTAAAGAAAAAAGTAAAAGCAATAAAAGCAAACCCATTTAAACCATTTATATAGAAAACGTAATCGAGAGAAAAGTAAATTCATACAACCAATGCCCAAACAACACATGGTAGGTATGCTGACAAATCTTTTCATTCTGGTGATTTCAGCTTTGTGCTTGGCATACCACAAACATAAATTGTGCTTTTTGTCACATTATGGGTTTGTTTATTTGTTTTATTTATGAATATTGTTTCCAATCTGTGGATACGAAGGGCTGACCATACATATAACACAACAGTCTTGTATAGGTAATGTGATTACAAGTTACACAAGTTTTAAAGACATTCCTTTCTCATGTTTTCACATTTGAATAATAGACTCATTCAACCTACAACTCTTCATTAGAAGTGTAGGAAACCATTTTCACTACATGAAAGAGAATAGTATACACAATAACATTTTCCACTGCTATGCATTATGTCATTAGACAATGCATATCTTGTACCAATATGAAAGTACTTTTATGAACTCCAAAGAGAAAATATTTTGAAGAGGTTTAAAATCTTCAGGGAACTCTTTACAAGGAGTAAAATTCAAAATCATAAAAGCTACTGTCTATAAGTTAACCAACACATTTTGTTCATCAATTAATTAATAATGAAATCTATCACAAGTAGATCAGGATCTAAAATTACAAGCTAGAACACATTCACCTAACATAATAGCTCAACAGTGGTACTGGGTAACAAATATAAGGGAAACTTATATCTATATAACCTTACTATTGAGATTCATATATACCTTTTTAAACTTTTAAATTTTAGACAACAGATAGCTCATAACTGTGTACTGGACACACTAGAGTAGAGTGTATATATATATATATTCATATATTACAAGTATATCAAATGTGTACATTCACAAAGGATTATTATTCCTCTTGTCATTGGAATCATAGGATGTTAAGGATAGTTTTACTTATTCAATCAAGGGACCATCTGTACTAAAAATGAATATATAATATACATAAAAAAGGGCATTTAGAGAATTCTTGAAGTAGTTCTGGTACAACCAAGTGAAAATATGTCTTTTTTTTCTCTCCAGCAACATCCTTACTTACAAAACCTACTGCTTTGGACATTAGATCTTGACCCTTTCTGTAAATGGTTACAATTTCAAACACTGCTTTTTCCATTCTCATGCCAAAGCAAAACCAAAGTAGCCTTACACAATCACAAGTATTCAAGCAAGCACATATACAGACACACAATATTTGTATGCACTTTGGATAAAAACATTTCAACAAGGAACATGAACATAGTCCTTCAACCTTTTATGCATTCCTCGTGAGATAATTATGGTAATTGTAACCAAAATCATAGTACTTACTTAATGGAATTGATAAACATAATACTGCCTTGAATTACAAAAATGGAAAGTATCACAGATAAGTAAATTAATCTAAAAGACTCAAAACATATCCCATCTTTTGAGAATACCTTTGCTGATATTTTTCTACATGAAATCTCAACATCTTTCTCTGTGTAAGGTGAAGCCAGCCAGCTTACCTATATATCCAAGACTGAAAATGAATATAAACTGGGCACAACTGAGATTCTTATTTCTTACAAATTTTCTTTCTTACACAGAATTTCTTAACCAACACTGGTGTATCACAGAACTCTATATTTATCATTGTCAGCGCCTGCAAGATCTACCCCTTTCGCCTTATGAAGCATCACCAGATAACATATCGCAGTAGAAACAAGCACATCCCTATGCCCTTATGTAACAATACTTGCTTTTTATATGAAAAACTTTGAGGCTCCATGTTGTGAAAAAAAGAAGATAAAAAATGTTTAGTACAGAATTAATTCTTATAACTGGCCTTTTTTATTTTTCATTTGGTAATAACAAACCAAAGGAAGAAATGTCTACAATGTATAGGAAATAATTCTCTCCAAAGAACAGTATCTTATAGATATCAAACGCAACATCCCTTTCCATGCATCTACACTTCCTACAACCATGAACTGGTCAACACACTTATGCTAATGCATCTTCTATCTTTGCTTTCTCTCTATTGGCAGTGTTTACAAACCTGAAACTTGTAACTATGAACATGTGGTTGGTAGCATTTTGTGGTGAGGCCTGCCTGCTTGCCTCATACATTTATCTTATTAACATGAATTCCCTTTGTTTTCTGTAAAGTAAATCAATTATTACAGGTTACCTCTGGTAAAGAAATTTAAAACTGACAGTTGAGCACCACAAAAGTTATCCACTTACCACAAATAAGGTCATTTACTTGTTTATCATACCTGTATAACGTCATTTGTCACTGATAATATTCTGAAGGCAATATGCAGGCATTTGACTGAGAAAGAGAGAGAGAGCTAGCTGTAGAATTGTAGATGAAATCACAATTCTGCATATTGAAATTTTAAAGAGCTCTGCCCTTTTTCACATGTTAACAGAAATCATCCTCTATACTATGTGTTCTTGCTAAAACTATTAATATACAGTGGAATGATGCTCTTCAGCTATGCTGTCAGCTGTTGATGTTTGTGCAAGACATTTTACATAAACAAAATAATATAGTTTGGCCTAATGAATACAAAAAACACAAACATAATAATTGTCTATGTATCTTGATGCATGTATTCATTTATATCAATGTGTATAAAATATAGATAGATAGACTGATAGATAAAGATAAGAGACAAACATATCTATACACACACATGACTAGATACATAGTCACATACACTGATGCACATGTACATTTTTGCCTGTCTGTCATCCATCTCATTTAGCATCTTTTGTTTAAAAATGGGTTTCATGCCAAAACCCAATTCCCCATTAATGCAGTCAAATACCACTTTTCCAAATAAACAAGTCTTTACATTTACAAACTGAAGTTTTGCCTATCATTTCTACCTAGCAGGAGGTGCATTCTTTCCATATGGTTGATATTCGTAATGGTGTCGAGTTCATAGATAGGATCTCATAATAACTAATATTGGCACTGATTACTGGGCTCTACTGTACATTGCTTTGGAAAATATCACCTACTACAAAATTAGAATTAAGTACCATATCTAATACTTGTGCTGAGGGAAAGACAGGTGTTGATCAAGTATCCTAGATCAATGCAGGTGTCAGTGAATCGCCTCTATTCCGAGATTGGCCAGGGTTACGTGTTACGGCTTTGGGACTATCATTTACTTTATATGGAACAGAGAACATCCCTTTTCCCCCCTCCCCCCTAGCCCTGCATCATGAATTAGTAAACTGCACAGTAACTTTAATTTGTGGAAAGCAGCAAGTGGCTTGCTGCATGAACGTTACCACCCATTCCCATGAACGTGTGGGTGCGAAAGTGTCCAGTATACCCGAAGAGCAAATTTACACTACTATTTATCCTGCCATTCTTTGAAATGGATACTTATTATATATTTTGATATCTAAGAAAATATGTTTCTCCTGCCTTTATATACAGACTGAAACTAGAAGTTACTATGCATACTGATGTTCAGTTTCAACAACTGTTGCATACTAATTTTAGTGGAATGAGGAAATATTAAAAAACCTCACACTCAGCCTGAGTAGTTTAAATATGGTTTGCAACACTACTGGAGCCTAGAAATACCATATACTGTATATACACATTTAGGTAAATTTAAGCAAACATGAAAAATCAGATCTATTGTATAAAGGCATTGAATTGTGTGCTGCAGTCTTTCACTTACTACAGATACTGAAATATTCTGACGCGTGATGCCCTACGTACAACTAACACTTCTTATTGTCTCAGTATCACAATAGCATGGACACTGGTTGTGAGCTACTTTGATTTAGAAAGATGAAAACTCCCATCATGAAAATAATGTTACTTAGAATGGAGTCCTTTTTAAGCAAGACTTCTAAACAGCTACTTGCAATATCAACGCTCAGTCTTGTCTTTGAAGGATTCGGGGAACTTTTCCTAGAGTCACGACCATTGTAAAGCTGGAAGCTAGAATTTAAAGTACAGGTTTATCTCTACCTCGATGCTTCTTCCACATATTCAAAACGCCTTAATACCAACAAAAAGCCTTAGAACTTTTTGAATTGAAAGACAACTACCTAAACTCATCTCCTTTGGATATTGTCAAAACCACGTATTTCTGACCTGAATAATGAGTAACACTAATATCTGACCTTCTCATAGTCAGGAACAGCCTATTGGCCAACCTCTGTTTGCTGAAACTCATATATTCTCGCAGGCTTTCAGTCTTATAAGCTCTTATTGATAACTGAAAATCTACAAGTATCACAAAAACAAGAAACACAAAATTGATTTCTACAACTGAAAAATTCACACATTACAAAGAGTTTTACATAATCATACTATTAAATACAGTTACAGTAGTTATGGATATGAAAACATTAAAGTTTGTAAAAACAAACAAACTAGGTAACAGCCATATGTGAAATAAATAATACTAAAATCATGGTTTATCTGAAAAGAATCAAAATGCATACAAAAAGTCTAATTATAAACCATACAGAGATTAGAATATACCAAGTCTCTACCTGAGATAAAACACAACTTACAAACGCAGAAAAGTAATGCAAGTGTGACGTTACTCTTTAAAACCATTTTCCTACATTTTTTCCCCCCATAATGTAAGTCTGACATGGAAATGGGCCCGTATCACAACCGTCACACCCTTACACCTGAACTGAATATGTGTAAATGTCTAAACATAATAGAAAAAAAGATAACATTAACAATAAAAATCAATTTGTATTGAGCAAAGATAACTGACCATCTGATAGGGGGGGGAAAAAAAAGAGAAAAAAAAATGTTTAATCAACCTTCCCCTCCTACTAATTAAACTGAATGTTAATCTTTCATAATAAAAAAAAAACTTCTTTCCAATTGAATATATTAAATGATAAATCCCTTATTTGAGAGAGAAAAAAAAAGTTCAACGATCTTACCTTCCTATCAAATAAATTACATTAAATCTTTCATCACTTGTATATACATGTATATTGCAAATGGGGCCTGAATACACATCACAGACCCACATAGATATCTTCCTAACAATCATCTTCCTACCTGCTTTCATTTCACAAAATTTACCAAGAGGACGATAATCAGGAAACAAACACAGCACACTACTTTACTCACTGCATTATTAATCTATGTAGGAGTGCATATAATGTGTGCACATGTGTTGCTGTGTGCATGTATGTGATGTAAATATTTGGATATCTGCTTATTAGAATGAAACCCTGCCACCTAAAGGTAGCCTTAAGCCTCTAGTGTCTGATCATTACTATGACCTGTCTCTTCCTCTGTGCTGCGCGAGGACCGAGCTGCTTCTTCCTCCTCCGTTGTCTTCTTGATCATCTGGTCGAGTCGCGTCAGGAGGAACTGCTTGTCGTGGCCCTCAAGGATCAGTTGATTCTTGAGGAGTGCGACCATGTGTTTGTTAGCCGCAGCAACGGCATAGTAATAATACCATGCCAGGATGAGAATGATAATGGCTGGCACTGCAAAGCCAGCTGTGCCCATGAAGAAGAGGACCGCCTGTATCCAGTTCGGAGATTCTGAGAAAACAGTTTGAATCTTATTATTCTCTTCCTTTTGTTAAGAAAAGAAACAAGAACTTTCACGTCACAATGCAATGGGAAATCTCTATTACTTAACAGAGAAGAAAAAAGACTTACTGTATAATCAATAACTTTTGTAGTCTGAAATTTTAACAATGATATCTGATCTTCATTCCTTCTTTGCAAAAATCATCCCTAAAAAGATTAGTCATCTATTCAAAAGTATATAATCAAATCAAAATGCAATCTTAGATATCAAATATAATATATACATACATATGTCCATACATACATGCAAATATCTTTTTTTCTCTATTTCTTTTTTCTTCTTTTCACTGATGCAAAGATGCACTTGACAGTATGGTAATGCCTGGTGACATGTGGACAGGTTGGTAATAATTATTTGTAAACTAATGAAATTCAAAATCATTTGCACATTCTGGCAAACTTCACTAACCTTCAAGTGCATCATATGCATGTATGTGTGTATGTATGTACGTATTACAACCATTAAACTTTTAGGCAAACCACTCTTTCCAAACCATATAGCCTACCTGATATTACATGTACCATTTCACTCCAAATGGTTGGCAGGCCCCTGAAGGGTCCACAAGCGATAGATGGCTTTATCTCAGCAATTGAATATCCAACGGGAATAATTGTGACAATAAAAGAAATTAGAAGGATGCTGATGAAAAAGGCGTTTGAGCGAGATGTACGATACAGTTGTGATGACTGACTACTGTTGACAGTACAGTCGAAGTATTTGATGTAAAACACAATAACTGAAATTGGAAGAAAAGACACTTGTTACTATATCATAATTGTATCTCATTATGAAGAATTTTACATTGCAAACTTGCTCATCTCAAATAGCTTATCCTGAAACTCAATCTAACCCATCTATTACTGGGTAAAGATTTGCTAGTTAAGTTTAGCAAGCCCAGGGTATATCAGTGTGCACTGCTCTGCACCTAAGTGACATCCTGGTGAATGGAGAATGCATTCATGAGGTGATATGAAGTCTTCTGTTGTGAGTGGATTAACCTAGTGTTGCTGGGAAAATGTAGTATTCACTGTAGCATTGTTATGTGAAATGTCTCCAAAAATATGCGACTCCGCATGTACTTAGCCACCAAGGAGTCAATTAGTCAAGTTCCTGACCTCACTTGACATCACCTTTCCTTGAATTTGAGATAATAATATTATTGACATTACTACCTTTTACACAAGATAAAAGAATATATTTCTGAAAATATAGGAAAAGAGTAAAAGTATGAGATAAATAGTACTATGAATTGGCTCAACGGTGACAAACTATTTGTGGAGTCTTTGCGGTGTAATGACAATTAAATGTATGTTTACGTCATCCCCAATGGAGTCAAGCTAAAAAGGAATCCAGAAGTCCATAATCTTGTTCATTTACGCATATTGTATCCAAAGATAAAAAACTATAACATAATTAAATCAATGATCTTTTTGTTCAATTATACAGATTGCTAATAATCTTATTGATCATTTAAGCAGATTACATCTATAAGACAAAAATCTACAGATTTTCACAGTTTAAAAATTCGTAAATACTCAAGCCACTACTCTTTTTATATTCAAGCAGACTGGCCTTAATCTTCTCCCAGTTATACAGATCACATTCGCAGAACAATCACGAACTACTTACCAAGTTTTACACATGTTACAGCTGGCAGTAAAGGAGAGTAGAACATCCCCAGCCAACACAGTGTCTGTCCGTAGACAATGTCCAACACGTGCTTTGGGATCATGAATTCAATGTCCCCGATGGCAGCCCCAATGCGACTACCTCTCATTAACTTGTGTCCAATACATTTACGAGGGAAATTGACCAAGAAGGCTGAGAGGAACATGATGAGCAAATCCAAGATCGTAAGCTTGTAGAGCTGCTGTCCAACGTATGTCTCCCAACACTTTGGTTGGTCGAAACAACCCTCACTGTCAAGAAGGAACAGTCGATTGGAATTCTATATAGAAAATGTTGAGAAATAAATCTATGACAAGAAAATGTTTGATTCACTTACAAAATCTACAGAAAAGGAATATACAAGGATGGAGAGAGAGAGAGAGAGAGAGAGAGAGAGAGAGAGAGAGAGAGAGAGAGAGAGAGAGAGAGAGAGAGAGAGAGAGAGAGAGAGAGAGAGAGAGAGAGAGAGAGAGAGTGGGGGGGAAGGGGGGTTCATTGCCTCTAATTAGGGTATTACATCTTCATTACTAGCCATGGGAAATATTGACCTTCAGAGAGAGAGAGAGAGAGAGAGAGAGAGAGAGAGAGAGAGAGAGAGAGAGAGAGAGAGAGAGAGAGAGAGAGAGAGAGAGAGAGAGAGAGAGAGAGAGAGAGAGAGAGAGAGAGAGAGAGAGAGAGAGAGAGAGAGAGAGAGAGAGAGAGAGAGAGAGAGAGAGAGAGAGAGAGAGAGAGAGAGAGAGAGAGAGAGAGAGAGAGAGAGAGAGAGAGAGAGAGAGAGAGAGAGAGAGAGAGAGAGAGAGAGAGAGAGAGAGAGAGAGAGAGAGAGAGAGAGAGAGAGAGAGAGAGAGAGAGAGAAAATATCAAAATTCTCAAACTTCAATATCCTTAGTGCACAACTTACCTAATACAGGAACCAGGTTCTGGTGCTGGGCATTCGCTGATTCCTTGGTAAATTGAGAAGAGCAGAACCACTAGCGAGGCAAGACGCAGGAAGACCGTCCGCACGAGAGTTAATACCAATATAAAGTTTGGTGTGTAGTGCTCCATTTCAACAAGGAGTCTGAAAAAAATAGATCCAAAACTTATATTACAGGTTATACTATTTACCAGATTATCCTCCATGTCAGTGTCATACACTTTCTGCAAAATTATCATCATCATGATCTTTATTATCATCACTATTATCATTATCACTATCATCATCATCATCAAGTACTGCTAACAAAATTGTCATGTATGTATTATTTATATCATCAAATAACCAAATTGCAGTCCACATATAAACCAAGTCGGGAAGAAATTTCACAGCTTCCAATGTAATATATCCATAACATAAAATTATACAGAGGATTACCTGAGTATAAAAGGTATAATTATGTTCAGTGTGACAATAACAGCTGAAGGTAGGTATTCATACAGAAGTATTTCTAGATCCTCCTCGTTTCTCTCCTAAAAGAACAAAAGAAAGAAAAATTGAATTAACTATGATCTAATACAGTTCCGTTTCTCTTGATCATGCCTTATATCATTTATTCAAAAAGGTCATATGTCAAGATTCTCTGTTTCTCTACATTTTCTCCTGGGGCAAAAGGGAGTACAGAAAATATATGGATATTGTTAATCTGTCTTTTCTAACATTTTACCCAACAAGAAGACACAAACTAGCACAGAGGAACTCTCTCCTTTTCCTTAGTGATTTTTGCATAGTCATTTGTATTACAATAATAAAGCCAAAACTACAATATATGATATAATCTCCTTTGATATTCAATCATCAGTCTTGCCAAATATTACAAAAAAATTATGAAATGAAAAGCAAGATAAATTGTTGAAAAAACTACATAAATCTCATAATATAAGCATCAGATTATGCATATACATACACACACACAAACAAAAGACCAGCCAAGAGACACACCTAAACAAACAAACAGACAGACAAACACACACACACACACACAAAACTTTTTCTTTACCTCTGTGTTACTCTTTAATGTTTTCAATTTGTTGAAGGCATAGGTGGTGCTGTAGAAGATGGCCAAGAAGGACACAGAGAGAAGGACTATCACCACCAAGTTAATCATAAGGCGTACAAAGTATAAACGACATCTGTTAGGGAGACGGAATAACAATATTTATAAATCACTGCCAAAGACAAACCTGATATGCTTACATGAGGGCTCCCCTTGTAAAAGCTGGGCTGATAAGACACACATAAAATTACTTGCTGAATGAGCTTGGCAAAGTGTGACCCTCTTAAAATCACTCATTATAAGAGTAGTGCCTGATATGACACATGAAATTACTGATCATATAAGCAGGACCTGATGCAAATCAAAATAATACTGCTCCCACCAAAGCGCTAGGCCCAATAAAATTCACATAATTTGACATGATCGGCAGATTTCAAAAAGCACACTTGACATCAAAAGGATTAAAACAACATACCTTTCTCTTTTAGTTCTCTGCTCTTTCTCATCATTGTATCTCTCCGTTTCGAGGTGGTTGCAGAGTTCATTATAGATGGCCTTCTTTTTTATGGCTGCGGCTTTGTTGTTTTCAATACAGTAGTCCCAACCTCCAAATATCAAATTGCAGTACTGCAACACAAATATATAGCATCAATCATTCAAAGCTTCACTGTGCTTTTAACACTGTAAGTATAATATAAAACACATAAAAGGTATCAGGTAAATGTAGATATAAATATCTGAACCAATTTATATACATCTTATATACATGGCAGTGTGTGAGTGTGTGTGTGTGTGTGTGTGTGTGTGTGTGTGTGTGTGTGTGTGTGTGTGTGTGTGTGTGTGTGTGTGTGTGTGTGTGTGTGTGTGTGTGTGTGTGTGTGTGTGTGTGTGTGTGTGTGTGTGTGTGTGTGTATGTATTACTAGAATATCTACACCTATTCCCAAATCTACAGCTATCTATATACATCAAAGAAAAAAAAGACCCTTCCACCCAACTAGTCCAAAAACCATAACACAAAAAAAGCACACAGGAATAAAGATGTCTACCAATTCTACTATTTATCAATATGACCATGTGGATGGGTGTTTATACCTGATAGAACTGCCCCTCCGAGGACCTGAGGCTCTCCCGGAGTCCCCTTGCCGCAGCCCTCACCATCAGCACCAAACTAAGGACCAGTGTAACCACCACCACCAGCAGATAGGCTAAAGGTAAGTTATAGTTCCAGCCCCTCATCTTGTCAAGGATTAGTATATGTCTTGGGTAGTGTCCGTAAAACAGGTATGAGAGTTCCAGCACACCCGTTCCCTGCACGCCGTCCAGGATCATCTGCACAATGTGACCTGGTTCGCTGAAGGAGTGGACGTTTGTGGAATGTTCAACTACTTCCAGTTTGTACACCTCAAAACAGCAGAGAGTGTCATTTTCAACACTTAACAGAGTTTCATTCTCGATTCCTATGCTCTGGTTCGTCTCTGCAACTTCAGTACAGCTATCCTGTTCGTATAAAATATAATATGAGAAGGATGTACCTTCCATCACT